GGCTTCGGCACACAGCAGCTGGCCTCAGGAATCGCAGAGGAAGCGACAGAAACCCTTGGCTGGCTGGAGCGCTGTCAAACGAACCGCGTGGCTGAGAGCACGCTGCGAGGGCCGGTCCGGGTGGGACCAGGAGCTACAGGGAGCGATTTGTCATAGAGCAGCGTGGCCAGCGGGTCGACGGAGGGGATTCTCCCTCTCTATTCTGCTCTCGTGAGAACCCCCCCTGCAGTCCCGCTTCCAGCTCTGGGGACCTCAACATCAGAATGGTACCGACTGGTTGGAACGACTTGAGGAGGCCACGGGGATGCTCCGAGGGCTGGAGCCCCTCTGCCATGGGGACAGGCTGGGAGCGTTGCAGGGTTCAGCCTGGAGAAGGGAAGCTCCGGGGAGACCTCAGAACCCCTTCCAGGGCCTGGGGGGCTACAAGAAAGCTGGCGGGGGACTTTTTCCAAGGGTAGAGAGGTTTAAATGGAAAGAGGGAGCTGGCGATGGGACATCAGGAAGGAATTCTTCCCGCAGAGGGTGGGAGCACTGGGACAGGTTGCCCAGAGAAGCTGTGGATGCCCCATCCCTGGGAGGGTCCAAGGCCAGGCTGGATGAGGCTTGGAGCAACCTGGGCTATGGAAGGTGTCCCTGCCCATGGCAGGGGGTGGGACTGGGTGGGCTTTAGGGTCCCTTCGCACCCAAACCATTCCATGATTTTTCCTCAGTCCCAAACGCTCCACCTAAAGCTTCGGCACCGGGCACTCGAGATCAGGGTTTCCTAGCGAGCCGGGATTGTCCAGCGTCGCGCAGGCTCGCTGTGATGCTCTCCTCCCGCTCTGCTCTGTCCCTCTTCTGCAAACCCGTTTCCCCAGTGCTAGTGACAAAAAGAAGAGGGTAAGCAAAGCCACGGACATCGCCTTTTCCCTGCGGTGTCTTCACATCGCTGCTCGGCAGGAGACGGTTCAGCGTTTCATCGGTGTTTAAAGAGCCCAAGGCACGAGGCTGTTCTACCCGGGATCGACCTGCGGCTCTCGCAGGCGGGATGCATCCAGCTTCACTCTCCAGACGTCCCACGGGTCAGAGCTGCTGTTTCTGCTCCACCTGAACCCCCGAGACTGATGTTCTGGGAAAACTAGTGTCCTGCTGAGACAGTGCCAGGCTCCTGGGTAAAAGCTGACTACACAGCTACAACTGGATGTGCCGTATCCACGTGGAGCAGGGCTGCATCTGCCCGGCTTCCCTACGGTGCAACGTGACTGCCATTGTTTGTGCTGTAGCTTAGTGACTGCTCCGCCTGCTTAAAAGCCAAAATTCCTGCAATTTTATGGAAAACAATGGTGTTGTAATAGTGTGTGAAGGGACAGGGAAAGATGATCTAAGTTGCTTGCATATTGGTGCAGGATATCAGCAAAGTCTCCGTCCTGTACTGAATGTTACAGCCAGGAACCTTTTCTTCGGCACTGCCTCGAGGTTTTCCAACAGATTTGCCTCCTTGAACAACAACAAAACCAGCACATTTGAAACTCAGGTAATAAAACAGTTGCCAATCATGAGTCAACCTGACAATCCATTTACCCGGTGTGGTGTGAGCTCCCATGCAAAACAAACTGAAACCTCCTGAGGAGGATGTACTTCACTGACACCTCCCCAGGAAATGTCAAACCCAGTAAAGAAACAAAAAGCAGCCCAAAAAACCCACCCCAGCCACTTCTGTATTCAGAAAACACAGATAAGACAACGTTTAAAATAGCTAGAGACTCATTTCAAAAGGAAGTCGTTTATAAATGGAATTCCACGGAGTTTAATTGGCCTTATCTGAACCCAAGTGCTCTGCAGAACAACAAAGGGCGAGGGGAGGACTGAAGAGCGGCACGCAGCAGGGCCGGAGACGGCTGCTCCCCACAAGTCAGACAAGTTGGTCTCGCGCTGACGTGACACCTACTTGTTTCTCACTTGCATTCCTTACACGGGGTTTAGAGCAGCTTTTCCCAGGAAGCTGCTTGCTGTACGCTCCGCAGAGGAAAGGATGAGCCTTTTCAGGCATCGAGTACCTCGACCTGAGTTCACGTGCTGAGAAACAGGACACCACGAAGCGTTTCTGCAGCGATGTAGGCTACGGCGTTAAAAAAGCACCAGTAAGAGGCGACAGGGAGTGACAAGGCACAAGCTCTTTCTGTCCTGAGGGATGTATCTGTTCCCTAGCCTGTTTAATCATCCCATTTCCCAGCCCGTGATGTCTTCAGCCAGTTCTTTGGTTCAAACAGCTCAGCTCTCTTCCTGCTAACCGGCCCAGACCAAGTCCAAACTGGCCCAGTTGCCAGATAGGTGTGGATTCCTGCGCAGCCCTTGCTGCCAGCGCGGCCGCTCATCTCCAAGGCGTTGATCCATGGGAAGGAGAGCAGTGGTATTCCCTGCCTCCGGTTACAGACGTGCCGAGGGCCAAACAGGCGCTGCCAAGGTCTATAAAGGTGAGCAAACCCCACCAATTTCAGCAAGAGCTCAGCTGGGTGAACGGCCTGAGCTCACAGGAAGCCTAAGGCCGACGGGAGCTTTGCTCACCCACGTCACCCTCCTTCCACGCCAGCCTGTCCCCGAGCCCCACGGCAGCCGCGTTTCAAAGGAGAACTGCT